TTTATCCAGAGAAAGAAGGTCATTTGCCCGATGGATGGGTTCAAACTACTCTTGATTCTGCTTACACAAATTCCACCAATAAATTATTATTTGTAGGATGCCAAGTAGCAATAAATTCAGCACATATTGTGATTATTGATTATGAACAAAATATAATTTGTGATGAATGGTTTCAAATTGAACATTCATCTGCTAGTGATAATAACAATAAAGAGTAAATAATAAAAATTTTTTTTTTATTATTTAAAATATTTTAATAAATTTAATTTTTTTTATTTTTTTTAAAAATAGATTGAACCATGGAATGAAAAGTTTAAAGAATATGCAAAATATTTTATTGTCTCTTATAACTAGAAATACAAAATTAGTTGGTCATTGTTTATCAAATTATTTAAAATTATTAAAAGTGAGTACAAAATTTATAGCTTTATGAAAAAATATGTATATATATGCAATTAATAAAATTTCCATAATTACATTTAAAAATTAGTACGCACACCCGTATATTATTGATACATCAATTCTATATCAAGATAATAATGAATTATATTCAAGACCAACATTAAGCTTTCTTAAAACAACTTTGTATAAAATTACATTGGAAGTTACTAATACTCCAGAGGAAGAGGCAAATGCAATTCTTTCTTTATATAAATACACACTTGAACGAGGTAAATTTTCATTTATTCGATTTAAAATTAAACATTGTTTGCTAATATATATATATGTGCATGTGTGTAAAAATTAGGTCCTTACGTAGGAAAAAGCAAAGAATCTTTAATCAACATTTTAAATATAAGTAATAGATCCACTGTATTCATTGATCATAGAGATAAATTTCAGTTATTTGGTGGTGGTTCAACTTCTAATGCAAATCTTGTTTTATGTACCAATGATGAAGAGGCACTTGTTTCTACTTATTTATGTTCCAAATGATAAATACTACATGTATTAATATAAGTTAATTTGATTTTAGATTGAAAAGAGCCTCCTTGAAAACATTAAAAGACCGAGTTTCGTATGGGCACATTTTCGAGATCTTAAAAGATTTCCAAATGGGGAAGATCAATTAAAATGTTTAAAAACCATTAATGATAGGATAGATAATTTATATCATAAACTATCAACAAACAGTGTTCTAATGGTCATTGGTGAACCGAAAAAAGAAAACAACGAAAAAGGGATTGCTTTTATTAGAGTTAAAAATTAGAAATTTTTTTAAATAAATATAAAATTGGCTAATTGAAAGATTTGTTTATTATTTATTATTATTGTTAATTATTAAATAAAATTGAAAATTGGCAAAAAAAAAGGCAAAAAAAAAAGGGATATTAATGAATTTTTGGTCTAGGGAGATTTTATTGTTTTGATTATCGATGTCATTGTGGGATTGTTTTAGAAT